AGACAATCTGAAAAGGAAATTTTTTATTTTCAACCGAATTCCACTTGTTAATGTCTGAACACATTCCTTCACATAAGGATTTTTGCAGGTGAAGTTCTTTTTGTAATTTCAAATCAAATTTTTCAGCAAAATCTATTATTTTCATTATATCTCAAATGTTGAATCAAAATTTTGCTCGTTTTAGATTTCAACTTCTCAAAATTAATTCTTACCACTTTTGGGTTCATGTTGAATTGGAATTGATTTCAACGTTTGTTTGTTAGTCACAAAGCAATGTTTTTTGACTGATGCATTTCGTTGGATTGCTATGGTTTATATACACAATTTCAGCTGTTGACGAAACGTAAGCATCTGTGAATTTCTCACATTCGGCGCATTGATGTTCTTTGTGTCTTCGATATGCCCTGCAATGCTTTTAAACAAGTTGAACGTGACATGAAAGCGCTGGATGAAAATGCCCATGGTTCACATTTGCCTTTTATTTTAATTGATACCCGCCATTTAAAATTACCGCAACCTGCATATGTTATTTCATAAAGTTCACAGAGTGATTTCAAAGCTGAACATTTAGTGATTTATCATTAATAAAATCATTTGTTAATGGGTCTTGAGTGGCTATTTTGCCTGAGGAAGTTTTGATATTGATCATACCGGCGATTTCACAAACGCACCGTTCTATCAAAAGAGCGGTCGTTTCTTATTGATATATGTATGTCAAATGCAAAACCAGTTGTCTATATGTATTTGGAATGTTTTCTTTCGTTCAAACGCTATTTCATTATATACGTATGATTTTCAATGTTTGGTGTCGAATTTCTAAAACTGTAGAAGATATCTAGGCGATAGCTTAATGCAATTTATTTTATTTTAATTGATTCAAGGAAAAGTTGAACGGTCACTTTAAAGCTTATATTGAAATCTCAGTCTCTTTTTCAGCGTGAGATTTGCTTGAACGGCGATTCCTTTGTAGAATATCTGCAGAACGAGATTCATTTGAATAGATATCTTGTGCTTATACAATTGAATAGGATTAGATTTTTCAACGTTTTCAAATAACAATAGTAAAATGTGGATCGTGAAAAAATGCATCCGTAAAAGTGTTCTCTTCTTATTATTTATGTGTGAGAACATCTGTGGAAACGAATAAATTATTTCAAAGTTTGCCCATCGCCTGAAAACTTACGCTATTTTTTCCAATTCAAAGTCTGTGAAACATATGAGGCTGTGAGAATGAAAATGGCAATACAGGAATAAACAATCTGAACCGCATCAAGAAAAAAAAAAATTCGCAAAAGTGAATCATGAGTTTTGAATACGCAAAAGTGAACCATGAACCTCCTATTCATGTTTCACTTTTGCATATTCAGAACTCATGATTCATTTTTGCGAATTTTTTTTCTTGATGCGTTTCAGAATGTTTATTCCTGTATTGCCATTTTCATTCTCACAGCCTCATATATCACTCTCAATATCAATCATAGCCATGTTTTTTTGCATTGCTGAGGGACGCTTTTGCGTATGATCATTATTTTTGGAGACACATTTCAATAATGTTATTTGATAATGTTAAATAAATCTATCCGAGTCAATCGTCAAAGAATGTATAAAACTCCAAATGAATTTTAATTTATTGAAGAGATGATGGTGTCTCAATCAATTAAAATAACATATAACCATAGGTTCTGATTAGGACACGGAAGTCACGTTTTGCCCTCCCCTCGGGCCTCAATTGAGCATTTACCCCTAACATTTTTTCGATTTTTGAATTGGGCCCACGTAGTTTGAATTCGGCTCTTCAACATTTTGTGGTAAAATTATCTATAGAAATCCACTCTGCATTTCTCTGAACATTTTTGCATACTTGCTGGCATTGGCGAATCAACGAAAAATTATAGGAGTCATTCTTTCCAAATTTAAATGCTAAATTGGCTGATTTCAATTTAACTAAAAAGTGCAAAGTTCATGCTCCAGTGAATAAATTTTATTACTTTGATTTTTATGCTTTTCTTCAGATTTGTGTATTTAAGTACGAGTTTTCTGAATGAATTATATTCAGATACGAATAGTATACTAAAGAGAGCAGCTCTAGCACTCAAAATGCAATATGCCTTCTGCTTGTTTCAAGTGTTTGTTTATTTCATTCTGTTCAAAGTGATTGTAAAGTGGTCAAAAATGGAATTGATAAAATCGACCCAAAAAAGCCGAAAAAAATTATTTTATTGCCCTCACCAATGCTCCAACGTATAGTTTCAGTGTCACTCATAAGTTTTTTTCCCCTTGAAATTCTCAAGCAAATTTTTCAAACTACCCCAAATTTTTTTCCATTTTTCGAAAATTACCCCTCCAAATTTTTGCGAAGTTTTCAAAATTACCCCCCTCTCAAAATCGCTAATATCAGAACCTATGCATATAACGCAGGCACGACTATACTTCAAATGAAATGCAACCAAGCTATTCACATTTATACAATTTAAACATATTATATTTAGTAAATTTATTTCAACTACAACAGAGCACATCAAAAACCAGTTCATTATACCATGTTGCCTAGATGTCTATCCTATACCTTTAAATAGATGTAATTCATTGTTAATAGCAATGAGAGACTGGCAATAGAATGTCTTCATTTGAGCTGAAATGTCTGTCTGCCTCGACATTTGAAACGATTTGAAATCAATCAATGAAAGAAAAAATTATGCGTACATTTTTACAATATTGTATAGTTCCAGGCGTATTCACACTCTGAATACAAAATTATTTCACAGATATAGCCAGCCGTTCAGGAGAATTTGCACCAAAATGTTTAAATTATAGGAGAGTTTAAAATTAGGGATAAATACGATCAAATTTTCAACGGCTTAGTATTAATATGAATTTATATTGATAATAGTTTGGTATAGAACTTAACTGAGGATTTGATTTGATTTTCAATATGAAAGACTGGAGAACCGTTTATCAACGGTAAAATTTTTAGAAACAAGAAAAACCAGCAAATAAAAAAAATATTCAAGTCAAAAACTTATTGTTTATGTTGATAATTTACTTTCTAATCGCATAATAACGGGAAGGGTATCTGGCGATGAGTGGGGCACGTGCCACAGTTCTGAGTGGTAAAGATGATCGGTACACGACTCGAGGAACTGGAACAATTGGAGCTGCGACAAACGGTGCTGTAATGATTGGGGCTGGTACGATTGAAGCAACTGGTGGCACAACAAGGGAACCAGCATCAGTACCGCAGTATGGGTAGTTTGGGCATTTTATTGGATCAATTCCTGGTGGGTATCTGTAGTGCAATGTCATAAGAAACAACCATTATTTATAGAGATGATTCTTTCTTGCATCATTTTGTGCTCAAAAATAAAAAGGAATGAAAAATTGTCTTTTACTTGTCTAGATTGCGTGTGCGGTAGTAGTTGAAAGCTGGAACAGTTGCATCGTAGTATGTTGGAGCAATTCCAACGCGTGTGGTGTACACCAATGAACGTGAGTGACGTTCCGAGTTCTCAGCAGCGAAAACCAACGAGGCAACGAGGGCGAAGAAGACAATCTGCAATGAATTTTATTTTCGATTATAACTCACTTGATTGGTTTTATTTCCATGGGATGAAGTGAACACACATGTATTTTATGAACGCTCTTACAAATCTCTGTGCACCCAAACTAATGTTTCGGTTCATGATTCTCCACTTCAGTTTATTTTGGTGCTTTTGCATACTCTTCGTATGTTTCATTATATGCTGAGTCATTTGCGTACTACAGACAAACTGCACAAGAACGCATACGGCTACTATCTTCTATGAAGCGATGTGCATTGTGCACCTGCACATAGTGTGAACTATAGAATGGAGTATACGAAGAATATGCGCGAGCACCGAAATAAACCGAAGTGCAGGATCATAAACCCCTCCATGAGTTTAGGAATACAGAGTCTTGATGAGCGTTCTAGATTCTTGTTGAGAATGAAAATATTGGATAAAATAATATTTGCTTCAATGAAAATTCTTCATATCTCGTAAAATAAATATGAATTTGTGTGCAAATAAAATGTGTTTTTTGAAAATTTAAAATTTTCGGATTAAATTTTTAGTTTTTGTCAAACTCCTACCAATTTTGGGCCCATGTTCACAGTTTGGAGTTAAATGTTTGTTGATTATTGATGAAAAGTTGTTGTTTAACTGATGCTTTTGAAGTGAATGCAGCAATTTATATGCTTAAATGTTCACCTTTTCTAACCTGTGCATGCAGTTTTGACACTGAATGCCTTGGTCATGTTTTCAGTAGGTATTACCGTTAACACTTTCATAATTCATTGATTTAAATTTAACTGGAATTTTGAGTGTTTACCACAGTTTTTATTCATCCACCGGTAAAATTCATTGTCATTGTCATTCGCAATGCAATATTACCACAATCGGAGCAATAAATACTTCCGATACGAACCAGACCAAGGTCAACAATATATTGGTCGTTTGCTTTTATAATCGTTTGTCAATTAGTTTTAAGTTGGTTTTATACCTTACTTACAAGACCGGTTTTGATACCGAAAATAACATCGGTCATTTTGGCATGCGACTCTTTACTGGAATGCCACTTTTACAAAAGATAGGTCAGGTGTGGCATATAATCCCAAGAACAAGTACTGAATGTGAACGAACAAAAACAAAACAAAGTGATAAAACAAAATCAAAAACGATATGTTTACTTTACGTCCATGTAACAAGTCACATGCACACCTGTTTTCTGGAATAAACCATTTGTTTTGATTGTCATCGATGCGACGTGATAACGTGCCTCTCAGCTATAATGTGTGCACTTCAGTCACTGCAACGATCAAACTAGATTAATTACAAAACTAGATATTCCATTGTGACTCCTTGACAAAAGTACCGTAACTCAAATATTAATTACAAATCAATCGAGAATTCGATTTGAACGATTGATTTGGTACACTCTTGATATTTTATATCTAATTTTAAATTAACGCAATAACGGTTTGGGGAGAATTTCAGAAATCAAATTTGTATTAAAGCCAGTGCCATTTCTTCGATTGAATCAGATCAGTTTTAGCTTTTCAACAAGCAATTGTGTCGAAAATTAAAAGAAAAACAATCGTCGAAATGAATCCAAAATTGGTGAGAGTTTTAGCAAAAAAAAATTCTGAATTTGTTCTAGCGAAAATTTGAATGAAGTTTCTGAAGACTCCAAATCGATTACAAACTTACAAATTGTCCAAAGAAAATATCAATTAAAAATCTCTTTGCAATTTTCAGGTGTTCTTCGTTGCCTTTGTCGTTTCTGCTTGCTCAGCTGAAGATCTGATGGCAGCACGTTTTCCAGCTGATGTCGATCCAGCATTGTGCCCAGGCTACCCAAACTGTGACAATACTATTTTGCATGTTACCGAAAAGGTTGAAGTTCCAGAATTGAAAGCAGAACGTTTCCCAGCTGATGTTGATCCAGCTTTGTGTCCAAACTACCCAGACTGTGACAATACTGTCTTGCATGTTACCGAAAAGGTTGAACTTGTAGAGGTGAAACCAGAACGTTTCCCAGCTGGTGTTAGCCCACTCGCGTGCCCAGGTTACCCAAATTGTGACAATGCCTTGTTGCACGGAACCGAAAAAATTGAAGTTCTCCCAACCTACCACAAATCAATTTACCCAGGCTATAAATACTACGGCTACAACCAATTGACACACTTCGCCGATGAGTAAGTTATTGAAGAGTTTTTCATCATTTAAATGTTTTAAGTCAAACTGACAAAAGCTTCCCATTGTGTTTCATGGCAAAAATTTGAATGATTCTTTTGATTTTATTCTACAAATTTCAACTCAATCAATTTGATACTAAAATGTGTCCTAATTCATTGCAGATACTACCCAGCTTCACCTTATGTCATCCCAAGAACTATTGCACCAATCTATCGTTATGCTCCCGGTGTTGCTCCAGTAGCACCAGTCGTTGCTCCAGTTGTCGCCCCAATCGCCGTTGCTCCAGTTGCACCAAACACCGTTCACACCATCAACGGTAGCCCAGTTGCACCAATTGCACCATTCGCCGCTTTGCCAGGATTCGCTTCACGATTGTTCACAGTTTCTAATTAGCTTCATTGCCATTTTCTACCGATCTAACGATCTGTCTTGACATTGCTTGAAATTTTGTTTAAATTCTGAAAAAATAAAAGAATCAATAAAGAATGTATTATCTGCAAGTCATAATGGGTTTTAATGTTGTTGAGAGTAAAATTGAAATTCGATTTTAAAAAAAAACTTCTTTTTTGTTGGGCCGATGTTGTTTTTTAGAACATATATGTTTCTTGTCCTACTCTTCTTTTCATCGGCTCATTTTGCACGATACATATGAAGCTGGAAGCGTTTCTACTTAAAAAGAGGCGGTCAAAGGTCTAATGTAAAACCACGTTCATGCTGATTCAGAGAAGCATTGCTGAAACTTTACGGAAAATTATAAAATTTGGAACGAGAATCTTTGTGAAAAAAATGCAATAAATAAAATAAAAAATGGTTTACATTAACGACTTTCTTCAGGTAATTTTCAAAATTTATCTAATCTGAATGACCATAGCATGAGGAAAAAATCCAAGGTCCAATTAAAGTGATGATTAAGATTAAATACTTTTTTGTCATCATTTCATGGTGTGATTTTGAAACTCTGCGGAAACACGATTGTACATGAAACATTCAGTGTGGTGACAACCGATTGTCAAAAAATGGAAACAAAATCAGAAATCGTTGCAAATCGTATCGTGTAATAGCCGAAGAAGGCTAAACAACAAATTCAATTAGCCTTTTTACGTGTTGCAAAGATGATTCGAGATGATTGTTGTTAAAAATTCAATGTTTTGTGCCATTTGGAATTTAGATTCAATTCACTGTTCACTGCTGCAACACACTTGATGAAAATTAAAAAAAAAAAAACAATCAAAAAGATTTATTTCCCACTAATTATACGTGTTTGGTGTGTTTTGTCACTCTTCAAATGTCCTGTTTGCGGCTTTTTTCCACTGAATTCAAATTTAACTGCCGAATAAAAACATTGGTAGTAATTCAACATTTTACCTCCAATGAAAAAATTACTTCGGCAATTTGTTATTTTGCCGTACTACTTCTGACGGTTTGCCTACTTCGAATTGTGAGAGTAACATGCCTGCAGAAATTATCTCAACAAACGTCCTTGTGCCTGCACAATTGAATCGGATAAAGTTAGTCAACGCTATCAAATAACAATAGTGAAATGTAGGACGTCAGAAAAATGCATCCACAAAAGTATGCCTTGCACTATGGGTGAGATTGATGTTCTTTGACTACTTATATTTTAATAAAGTAGAGTATGTTTCACTCGTGGTTTTTGGTGATTTTAATTTTAATGACAGAAAATATCCAATTGGTGTCTTCGCAAAAAATGTTACTCTTATCAAACTATACAACTTTGCAATAGACATTCAAACTATATTTGTGAAAATAAATAAATTATTTTAAAATTTGCTGACCTCTTGAAAACAAACTCAACTCTGTTCAACACAAAGTCTTTGAAACATACACCACTCTCAATCTCACCCATATACGTATCGATGTGAAGATTAATCGCGTCGCTAAGTTACTGTTTAACTTGGCACCGGTTTTGTTGGAACTTTCACTTTGCCATCTTTGACGTCATTGTTTGATTGAACCGAATTTGGAATTGAATAGATCGAACTATTAAAGTGTCTAAAAGTTGGACCGATATTCAAAAGCAGTGACACACGAAATACGGCATTCTTGAGACAAGAATGAAAGAATGAGAAAGTTCAACGATAAGTTGAGTGAAATATGGCACAAATCAGGCCCACAGCTGTACTTTATCGAAGAACAGAATGTGGTCGTACATTAGCTGTACAACAACTGACGTGGAGTGATACCTCCCGGCTGTGTGGTGCTTTAATCGCTGCAAACATCAAACCAGTTTAGTTGCAAAACTGGAAATTCTATTATGGCACCCCTGACAAAGGTACTGCAACTCAAATACAATTATAAATAATGTCGGGCATTGAATTTGAACCATTGATTTGTTACGCTTTTGATAATTGATATTTAATTTTAAATTTATGGAATGTGACACCGGTTCTGGGATTATCAGTTGAATTAGTTTCATTTTTGAAGAAATTTTTTTTTTATAAAAGCCACTGCCATTTCTTCAATTGAATCAGAACAGTTTTAGCTTTTCAACACGCAATTGTATCAACAACGAAACAAAAATCAATCGTCAAAATGAATCCAAAAGTGGTGAGAATTTTAAAAGAAAAATGTTTTAAATTAAGTCGTTCAGTGAAAAATTGTTTGAATTTCATAAAGACTTTAGTTAGATAGATTACATTTTAGTTACGAGCAGAGGGAATTTTTTCAAGCAAACCGTCAATACAACCCTCTATTTCAAATTTTAAAAAAATATTCAAAGAATACAAATTACAATCTTTTTTCAATTTGCAGGTTTTCTTCGTTGCCTTTGTTGTCGCTGCTTGCTCAGCTGTAGATGTACCAGCACGTTACCCAGCTGGTGTTAGCCCACTCGCGTGCCCAGGTTACCCGAACTGCGACAATGCATTGCTTCACGGAACCGAAAAGATCGAAGTTCTTCCAACCTACCAGAAATCACTTTATCCAGGTTATAAATACTACAGCTACAACCAATTGACACACTTCGCCGATGAGTAAGTTATTGAAAAGTTTTTCATCATTTAAATGTTTTAAAGTCAAACTGGCAAAAGCTTCTCACACAATTATTGTGTTTTTTGGCAAACAAATTGAATAATTCTTTTGATTTATTTTCTACAAATTTAAACTCAATTAATTCGATGCTAAAATATATCTTAATTCATTGCAGATACTACCCAGCTTCACCTTATGTCATCCCAAGAACTGTTGCACCAATTTACCGTTATGCTCCAGTCGTTGCTCACGGTGTTGCTCCAATTGCCTCCGTTGCTCCAGTTGCACCAAACACCGTTCATACCATCAACGGTAGCCCAGTTGCACCAATTGCACCATTCGCCACTTTGCCAGGACTCGCCTCAAAACTGCTTGTTCGCAGTTACTAAGTAGCTTCATTGCCATTTGTTATCAAATGATGTCTTGAAATTACGTTGAAAACTTGAATTTTTTCGAAGTAAAAAAAAACTCAATAAAAAATTTTGAATCTGCAAATCATGAAGAGTTTTAATTTTGTACGATCAAAGTTTTAGATAGCGAAAATTCAATAAATACGGAATATGTGGATGTTCTATGACAAGCAACAAAGAACTTCAAACAGCTTTACACTATTCTCCACTTCCATTGGATTTCAACGGTCAACGTGTATCTAATGTAATGGGAACTAAATGCGAGTGGAGACGGTGTGTAAAAAATAGTGTAGAAAAACTTTTTGAATGGGGAACTTCTTTTTTTATTCGAATATTGATTGCAAATTTTCCAATATCTGAAAAATAATGAACAGCAAGTGTTGAGCTAAACTTGTTTCTCACATTTGTTAGACACAAAAGAACCAAAAGACATTTTTTTGTCCTACTTTTATTTTCATCGGCTTCTATTATATAATAAGTAATGTAAGCTTCCCGATAAATCTACTAACCTCGATATCAACTTAATATTATCAAGGTTGAATCGTTTTCACTTAAAAACTGGCAAAGTCCAATAAATCACAAAACAACGTCCATGCGGCGGATACAATTTAACTCAAGTCAAGTGTAACTGTGTTGCAGAGAATAAAAATGGGAATACAGAACCGTTTGAACTGGAGCATAACATGAAATTTGTTTCTTAAAACTGTTGAATAAATCGTCGCTTCAAGTCAAGTTCCAAAACTTGGCTAAACACACTAACTTTCATTATCTCTTATCATTTTCGCGAAAATCACAAAGAATCACATTCAAAATTTACATTTTTCATTTTACGTTTCTAAATGATAAGAGTTAATGAGTTAGTGTGTTCAGCGCAGTTTTGGAACTTGAACAATTCCCATTATTCGGTATTCCCATTTTTATTATCAACAACACAATTACTTTTTGAAAGAGTTTAAAAGTGAAATGCTAGGATTTTTCAGGTGTGTTTTCCCACAAACAAGCACATGTTTCTTTTCCAATTCCAAAGAACTTTTAGAAATTTACAAAGGATTTGCAATTTGTGAGTCTGTTTGATGTTTGAATTTCGTACGTTACGTACAACATATCAGTAATTATCATTTTGCCCGGTCGTAGGAAAGTTACGGTGAAATTAATGAATTTTTCATTAATTCCACCGAGTATAAAACCATTGTGCCCATTTCTTAAGACTTCTTTATTCTCTCGTAAAAAGAAACGCTGCATTTACCGTCAGCGGTCAACCAAGCCAAATAGCCATTTTGCTGTTCAAGGAAAATAGAAGTCAACAGAATGGGGAAAACACACATCAAACGGTTTAATTACAGTTTCATATTCCAATTACAGTATAATTATCCATCACTGCATAAAATGCGCGCAATTCGAATTGCGTTTCAAGAAAATCGATTTGCGTCATCCAAGGCTATTTCGGAGCATATAAATTAGGGAACAATGTTGCATTCAAGTGTATTCCGTTCGGAACCATCGTCAAAGTAAAGTGAAAAATAAATCTAAAGAATTATTTCGATAATAAGACATTTTAAGCCATCTGTTTGACTGGTTTTTTTTTTAGCAAATTATTCTCTTCATTCAAATCGATAAACAATTTGGTTTCAAAGTTTTTCACAAAAAGCGAAATTCAATTTGATAGCCACCTTACATTCAAGCAAACCGTGCGATAATGAAGGTACTTCAATACAATCAGTTTTATTTGAAACTGTTAGGTTTGAGTTCGGATCGTCTCGCTGAACAAACCAATGAATTCATGAAAACCATGATTTGTTACGTGATGTTATTTGGTCTGGCCGGTTTGATGTTTTTTTGTAGTGCAGTTTTTGGAATCAATCACATGAACGATATCACATTGGCTTTGAGATCGATCCTTATGGTGTGTGGAAGCTTGCAATGTCTCGGTGCATACATCAGTGTTGGACTGGAAATGAAGAATGTCAAACAGTTATACATTGGGATTCAAGACCACGTCGACAATGGTAACTTTTTTTTCGTTTCGTATGAAGCGAATACTAATAATTCGTAATCGATTCCAAACAATCAGTTTCAGAGCCCTATGAATCGACATTCTATATGGAAGCTGAAGAAAATTGCCAAAAACTCACCAAATTCGTTTCGATTGGCTATCTATTGATGGCCGCAGGGCTTTTTTTAGCCGCTTTATTTTTTGCTGCATTTTGTATGTGGATGGGAAATTTTGATACCTCATCTTGGCTTCTGCCATACAGTGTAACTGTTCCATTCGATACTTCTACTCTATTGGGTTGGCTTCTACTCTGGCTTATTAATTGTTACATTGGTTTTGTCTATTCATTGAGCACCACATGCTGTGTAACATACTTTGTGAGCCTCTGTTTCTATATCATCGGCATGTGTGAACATTTCGGCTACTTGGTCAAAACGTTTGATACGGACATTAAAATAAGCCAGGAAATCAAAGAAACACGGCAAGAGAGCAACCGCAAGGCATTGAATTTTAAACTAAGGTTGAACAGGATCGTTGAACAACATTCGAAGACTTTCAAGTGAGTTTGACAAGCTTTTTACATAAATTACAATGAATTTGCTATTCGGTACCAATTCGACTGAGTGATGCTTGGGCTTGTTGTTCGTAATTTTCACCAAAATGTAAAGATAAAAATCCAAATTGTTCAACGTAAAAACTTGATTCAAAATTAAACCTTTTCACGTGAAAATTGCTCCATGAACAACAGGCTCTTAAATTTTTCTAACTAAATCTTGGTCATTCTGAATAATTGTGAATTTTCTTATGTTACTGATTCTGATTTATTTCTCGAATTTAAATTGAAATTTTATTTACATTTTCATGCCAAGAATTGCCAATTTGGCAGTTGATGTCAGCAGTGGAGTCATATTCTGGATGCTTTCGTGTAATATCGTATTTTTGGCAGCTGCTCTATACCAAATTGAAAATGTAACTGTTTATTTTTCATTCATTTTTCGGCCCTTTTCGAACCTTTTCAGACCATTTTTTTCTAAATAAAATATGAAGATTTGAAGATGTCCCAATGGACATTGTCCAAATGTTATGTTCTAATACTACTAGCGCAATTTTGGATTGCATTTTGCACAATTGCAGCTTACTGAAATGGGATTGGAGACCCTTTGTGTACGGTCTCCATACTCATTTCACAATTTATATTTGAAAAAATTTCGATGAATGCTAACTGTGTGTAATTTTTCCCGAATTTCCATGTCGTTTTAAAAGTATCACGCCCATTTAAAGTTCTCTTAATTTAATTTTATCGCCGAGATATAAAATCGCTTTTTCCAGACCATTGGCAATTTGGATTGGATGATACTGTATGATATTTTGTGTTTGATGGTGTCGCTCTTGTGGCCATTTGGATTGTGCTTTTCAGCAACGAAGGCGACAACATCTACTTCAGAATCGGCCGAAACTATTTACAACACCGATTGGTACAATTTCCCGCATGCAGCTCGCACATACTTACCTCTGATGATGGCTCGATCGCAACATCGAATTTCCTTCAAGGGTTTTGGAATCGTCGACTGTAACCTAAATAATTTTGTCAAGGTAAACATGTTAGCACATTTGTTTTTCTATGACTTCATTGCGGGCAGTTAACTCTTAAATTAGTTATGCGGAAAGCGAAAAAAATCCGCAACAACCTGAGCACTGTAAACGTATGGTCAAGAATTTGGAGTGGAGCGTATATGCTCATTTTATACCAAAAGAATCAGCAAAAACATATTCGCCATGAATGATTTCCTTCTTCCATTCAAATCATCAAAATATGGAGACTGAACAATTTTCGAGTTTTGAACTCAAGTGGCAATTCTATGGTGAAAAAACACGTTTTCCATATTTTGAATTAACCAAAAAAGCGTTCTGACTTTGGAAGTGACATTTTAGATCAGAACAGTGGCGAAATTCTGTGCACATTCCGAAATTTCTATTACGAAATGTGAGATTTTGAACAATCAGATTCCATTGTATTCAAATGTCGATGCGAGATTTTTTTTTTACTTTTTGCGAGAAGTAGTGAGATGAGATGTTGTTCATAACAAAGAATTCATTTAGGTTTTCAACGAAATAATTTCACTACCTCGAAAAGGTGGCGAGATTTTTTTTCGGAATTCATACATCAATTGTAAATTATATTGAATGATCCTAAATGAATTCTTTGTTATGGACAACATCTCATCTCACTACTTCTCGCAAAAAGTAAAAAAAAATTTCGCATCGACTTTTAAATACAATTGAATCTGATTATTTAAAATCTCTCATTTCGTAATAGAAATTTCGGAATTTGCACAGAATTCCGCCACAGATCGCATTAATTCAGTTGAAAATAATCCTTTCGTGCTTATTTATTTCAGATTAATAATTCAGCCTCCTCTTGCTATCTTATGTTCAGAAAAGTAGCAGGGCGTTAGATGTCACACTCAATACAGTTTGACACAGAATCTTATAGTAATTATCTTAGATTATATGTAGACTAAATCCAAATATTTATTGCATGTTAGAGTATCAAAGAGTGATTGACATAAAGTTTGCTTTTACTCAAAACGAAGTGAGACAAAATATCAAAGAAACTAACCAAAATCATTTATTCACAATTTTAGCAACCTCTATTCTCTAAAAACGATTTCAATTACACAGAATCGTTTAAATTTCTCACAAAAATAAACTTTTTTTCAATGGTTTGTCACTTAATTAAATGCAACATGTTTTAAGAAGAAGAAAAAAAATTGCGTTTCATTGAAAGTGAATCATTCTTTGGTTGGCTAAATTTAATTGGGCTTAACCTAAATATGAACTTGCATTTTAATTCAGTGAAAAATTTGCGTTTCTTACAAATTGAATTCAAAAAAAAAGTCAGATGGAATTAGAATAATGACACTAATCACTAGTCGAAAAAGTGAAGAAAAAAATTGTGTCAATTGAAGTTTTTCTTAAGATCTAAATCCAAGACTGGTGTCAGTCTGAACCGTACCGCTATTTGTCGATGTTACGGACAAATCGGTATTCAATGCATTTCGTTGTTGGTGATTGTTGCTATGGCCGTGCTGGTGATGGGGTCGAGAAGTGTGAGCAGGTTGTCGGTCACGGTGAAACTCATTCGGTCGACGCATGTTTTGATGGTGATGGTGCTGCTGTTGCTGTTGGATTTGGTGTTGATTTAGCTGATGCTGGTGCTGCTGTTGCCGTGGTTGATTTTTTTCCGGTTGTTGTAGTTGTTGTTTTCGCTGCTTTTCTTCATCTCTGCGTCTGCAAACCAATAAAACATTCAATGTAACAAACAAAAAAAAACAGACTATTTTCTCTCTCCCAAAAAATAAGTTACTTAAGAGTTCGATATGAATTTCACTTGTTCATCTTTGTTTTTATTAACAACTTTTTCTTATGCATTCATTTCATTATCCCAAAAAAACCAGACCAATCCAAATTTGTTCCACTCACCGTTTTTCCTGACAAATTTTGTGGTGCACAATTTTGTATTTGTGCAACTTTTCTGCGGCCTGTTGACGTCGTTCGCCGGCTTCTTTGACTTTTTGTATCAAAACCATCCGCTTCTTCTGAACGTGCAACTTTTTGGCTGTTAATCGTCGTTTCGCAATAAAATTTTGCATCCGCTGAAACTTCATAATATCCAACAACTGCTTTTTTGCGCTTGAAATCGGCTTGAAGAAGAGCTGGTAATGTTTTGGCATGTTGGTGGTGCATCCAATGAATTGGCAACTTCGATTGCACAGCGCACAATTTTGACCATTCCTAAATCGACAACTATTGCACAGTATATGGTAACAGCTGGTGAAATACTGCTTGGCAGCGGTCACTCGATTGCTACTCGATCCAGCAGTCACCGGTTCGAACATTTTCTGGACATGCAAGCACGAATTACACCGGAATTTTGGCATCGGATGACGGGCCGATGGAACAGACATCGTAATGGCAATTGAATTCACAGTGTGTCACTTTGGAACTAAAACAATGAAATCAACAAATTATTGAAACGAATTTTCGATGGAAAAATGTGATAAAAACATGATGATTCAGCGAAATTTGTGATCTGAATTTTAAAAACAGACATCAATGACTCACTCGAATGTTTTTTTTTTCACTCAAACAATGGATGTCTTTGTTTTGAACTGATCAAACTAATGCGACCACACGCCGAACCTTTGCTTTCAACTTTTAGTCACTTTTCCAGCGCAAACACAATTTCTATCGTTCTAATTTATTCGTTCTTAGTGTTTTTTTCTCTTAATTTGCCAATTGAAGAAGAAGTCCGCAAAGTGAACTATGAAACTGGTGTATTTTTTCGCACTGAATCCATTTTGTCACACACTGAATCGAATGAGAATAATGCAGAAAGGTCACACCCAAACTCAACTCTTTCCAAACCAAATGAGCTTTGACATTTGTTTGTCAATTTGCATTCGGTCTTGACATTTCGAGCGCCCTCGATGGGAAAGTATGAGAGAAGAGCTGTGTCATGTATTGGAAATACTTAAACAATCCTCTCTTCGCTACTCTTTCTGTGTGACAAATAAAATGTGTAGAGTTTTGATTCAAATCTCCAAGATCTCAAAAATTGTTAATCAAATAATGCAATTACGAATACATTTCGCAAATTATTTATTTAAATCAATATTTGTCATTGTTTGCTATGGATTACATGTTGTAAAGAAAAAATATTGGAATGGAATCGGATGCTGTAACCTAAAGAATGAAGAAACAGTATTTTCAGTACAATTTGTATGTTTTACATGTTCAATTTAGAAAGTACATTTTTGGAAGAAAAATTCCAATTTAAGAATTTCCATTATTTGAATGGTTCAATGAATGCGTTTGATCTGATGGAAATAGTAATTAAGCAGAATATTTTCTGAAAAAGATAGCTGCGATAAAATTACGTTTTTCAGAATGTTTTGTGTTGATTTTTTTTTAAATGCTGTTTCAAACTCCATCGCGATGAAAATGTCTTGCGACATGAGCCACATTCGAATGGTTTCTCTTCTGAATGGGTGCGCATGTGATCAATCACATTTACCTATACCGGGTGGGAAAACTTCTTACACAAATGAAATTCATAATAGCGTCGATTGCAGTTCCGCTGGTGAGCCTTTCTTTTGACATCATTTAAAAAACCCCGGCGACAAATCAAACATTTGAATTGAAGCTTCTTCGTATGAGATACCAAGTGATTATTGAGGCTAACTTTCTGTTTGAATTGCTTCAAACAATGTTGACATTCGAACGGAGTGTCCCCAGAGTGTGTGCGCATATGGTCGATCAAATTGCATTTGTTGAAACCAAATGACTTTCCACAAACATAGCATTCATACAAACGGCGATTACACTTCCCCTCATGTGCATTTCTTTCATCTTGGCGAACGAATCCCAGACGACATCTGGTACAGCGGAATGAACGTAGACCACCATAAACCTTCATGTGTTCCTTAAGATGACTTTTTTGTACGAATCGCTTAAAGCATTCGTTGCATTGGAATGGTTTGTCACCGCTGTGCACACGCATGTGCTTCATCATATTCCCCTTCATTGATCCAAACGAATCCTTGCACAAATGACATTCGTAGCGACGAGTCTTGCACTTGACTTCGTGTGCTTCCTCTTCGTTTTTTCCACCGAATCCTTGCAAACAGCCCGGGCAATGGAACAGAAACTCTTCAACGAAATCGCACCCATGTGGCTTTTCGCCAGTGTGTTTCAGCATGTGCTTATTTAAATCACCATTCCATCGCGTTGAATAGATGCAAATGTAGCATTTATGTTTCTTCGTTTGATTTACATAAGCATTGTCACCTCGTTTCTGTGTATCGCGTCCACTTGCATCACTTTCTGGGGCGATGAAACCGCCTTCACCGTGTGGCAGTGGCTGCCGCTGATTCTGCTGACTGCCCGTAGCTTCTTCTTTTGAGTCATCATTCATTTTCGAGTCTTCTTCTTTGTTATCTTCACATTCTTTCTTCACCTTGACCTTAGCGTCTACCTCGTTCAAGTGATCGAAATCATATTCAACGTCACGATCATTGAAACCAGGAACACATCGTAGATTGTGATAAGTCGATTCCGACACTTCAACCACTTCGTCGACAGACACTGGCTCTTGCTTGATTTCACCTTCTTGCTTGATTTCGATTGAATCAGCAGACTGAGTTTGGTTTTGGTTTGCGGACATTCTCAGGTCATTCGTGTCGGTTGAAAGGTCAGAGCTATGCTCATCGTTTACTGCTCGCCTGAATGAATCAAATGTGACAATTGAAACAAAGCAAAGAGAATTTTTTGAGGTTAGCTTGGTCAGTACAAGAAAATACTTCACGAATGCTATCTTATCTCGATAATAATGCGTCAATTAAATTCATGCCTTGAAAACTTATTGTATTACATTTTAATGCATCAATGTCCTGAGAAAATAGCATATTTACTGTATATATACTCGTGACGCAAAAACTGGCATTTTTGATATTTGGCTTGAAATGCACAGTTATTGGAGCGTCACTTGTCGGACTATCGTCTTCCGTGATTTTCAGTGCATGAAGTGGGCGAAATCACGCATAAACGATTTGATGTCCGTGAACATCAATATTGGTGACGAGCAAGCTTCACTTTTTTTCCACTACGAAGTACACCGGCGCTAAACGCAAAATTCTGGATGTCGCCCCCATGCCCATTCTCCTTCCAAAGACTATATCGTTTCGTTCACCTTTGAGTGGTTTTTCACGATTCAAATTGCTGTTGATTTCAAAAGTGGTTGAAACTCATACGAAAAATCTGATTCTAATTCTATTGAATAGACATTCAAGGCTTGTGAATTGAAAAATTTCTGCACTAGCAGTAGCGTGGCGGTTAAACGTGTGTTCGCCTCGATAGTCACCGATGAAAAGAAATTGAACGCGTGAGAATAAAAGACTGACGCTAGCAGGTTTTTCGCAAAAGCGGATAACAATCAGTTGCACGCAAAAGAGACATTTCAAAAGGTTACACGCAAACGGACCATTTTATTTTGTCGCATTTGGAATTTTAAAGCCGTGATTACAACAACAATATAAAACGAATTACATACGTAATCCAAACTTTTCCGCTCCGCAGCAATTTAGTTTACCTCCCGCTTAATGATTAACCAAAATTTCAATGGACCCTTTTTTTCATAGCATTTTTGACCTTAAAATATAACTATTTCGACCATATTCCATACAAAAGTGTCATTTTTGAACAAAATTTCAAAAATTTCAAGAAATGTTGATTTCGGACCAAATTTATGGGCAAATAGGTGTTCGGTTGTTTAAAGGCTCCCATTTTTTTTGCAAAAAAGATCAGTTTGTTTTGACCAAAACCCTAAAAAATGGCTTTCTGAGTGATTTTTTATACAAAAGTCTATTTTTCGAGAAAAATTTCAAGAAATGTCGATTTTGGACCAAATTTATGGGCAAGTAGGTGTTCGGTTGTTTGAAGGCTCCTATTATTTTTGCAAAAAAACATCAGTTTGCTTTGACCAAAACCCTAAAAAATGGCTTTCTGTGTGATTTTTCATACAAAAGTCTATTTTTCAAGGAAAATTTCAAGAAATGTCGATTTTGGACCAAATTTATGGGCAAGTAGGTGTTCGGTCGTTCACAGACTCCCATTATTTTTGCAAAAAAACATCAGTTTGCCTTGATCGAAACCCTGAAAAATGCTTTTTTCGGGTACTTCCCGTACAAATGTACCATTTTTGAGGGTTTTCCTTAGGAGAGGTACCCCAAAGTCACATCGGATATGGCTCAAAATCAATCCGAAGCTTTGTCTCGACATGCCAAAACTTTTGGCTATTACAGATCTCAATTATCTTGTCAACTTTTTGAGATAATCGGCGGACAAAAAACTCGGACGCGAACGCGAACGACGCCATACCGAAAGAGGAGATGTCATGAAATTTTGGCTAGTAAAACCAATACTTTACCTAACAAACAAAGTTTGCGGAAAAGTAATACTTCTCTCTTGCGTGCAACCTTTTGAAATGTCTCTTTTGCGTGCAACTGATTTTTATCCCGCTTTTGCGAAAAAACCTGGTAGCGTCAGTCTTTTATTCTCAAGCGTTCAATTGTGTTCGCAATGTCAGTGAACAAAGCGCCCGTGATTGTGTGAGTGCAAATCGATGAATGACACGTACGGAAACTGTATCCACACTGACAAAGCAGTCCTCTCAGAGCCATTTCTAGCTTCGCTGGCGCCTGGGTTGGTACGTAAGCAACTTGATCGTGTATCTTACATAAAAGTTACGTATATTACATCATGTAATTTACCTATGAAAAATCATGTAATTTACATGAATTTGTAAGAAACCTGTAAGAAACTCTGAAGAATGATTTTTTCATAAAGAACTAATGCAAGAAACAAAAGATTTTCGATTGGAAATGAAGAAAATTTGCATTCTATTTTAGTTTTGTTCTTTCGTTATGTAAAAAATTAATTCTGATGATGAACAAAAAGTGAATTAAATATTCTTCATGTAATTATTTCATTATGTAATCAACGTTTTTTCAATCGTCTTCTATCAACTATTTATGGAAATATTTGCATAGTGATTCGGTAATTCTGCATTTCCATATAAAAAATGCGACTTTCAGCACGCATTCAATTCAACGTCTTATATTTCCAAAAATAGTTGAAATTTTTTATTAAAAATTTATTATAACATTATTTAAATCACACATAAAAGCATGCAAAAATTCATTTGGCTACATGCTAGGGGCTTCACGCACTCAAAAAATGATTCAAAAACAACAAGTATTTATTCTATTGACGTATGATCCGGTAAAATCCATTCTTGCACGCTGAAACTCACATGAATTCACGAAAACTCTCACATTTGAATTGAATGAATATTGAGGAGTTTGGTGAACTTTGGTGAATTTTGGTGAATTTATGTGAGTAGAAAAAATTACAAGAATTTGTATTACCGACCCTTTTCATTGCTAGACACTAGGTTCGACACTTAGTTTGACAGCTAAGTTGGCAAGACTGTGAAATCTAATTTATCGACAAATTCACCAGAATTCACCAAAATTTATTTGTATCGTTTCAAATTCATAACAATCGTTAAAACTTATTACTATTTATTTATCACTACACAAATTCAATGGTTGAAAATTTTGCGTGAAGCCCCTAGGCTACATGTATACTTGATAACACTGCGAAAAAACACACTTTTTATGAGAAAATAGCTGGTGGCTTGAAACTTTTGCATATTTTTATTTATCAGCTAACGCTGTAGAACGAGCATGTATGTACTCTGTATATTTTGAATGCTTAAAACAAACGAGAATAGTCGGTTTTTGTCTATAACCCTGCACTTTTTGGAGCGTTTTGGAGTTTATTACATGCGTTGAGGTTTTTTACGTAAT